TTGATCAACATATAAATCTTAATTGTTAGAAAAATATAAATTTTGTTTTTGACTTCTTTGGCCTATAGAAGGAATTGCAACAAGATGTATTAAAATTGTACAAAGTTATTTTAAATAAGTATCACAAAACTAAGTGTTATTATAATCAATATTTTATTAGAAAAAAATTATACAGACAATATAGCAAGATTTTAAAACGTTTCTATGTAGTATATAACTTTTTGTTTAATTTTCTCTCGTCTTTCATTTATATTTGAAATGATTCTAATAATTATATTGATATTTTGGCGTAGGTTTGATATATGTGTATCATACTTATAAAACAGAAAAAATAAAAATAAAAAAGAAAACCCAACATGACAGATTGAAAATGTTGCAGACTCAGTTTGATTAAGCCTGTTCATAAGTGCAAGTTACCGTCCACGCCCCCTAGCATCGGCTTAAGTAGAAATCACATTTAAACACGAAAATGGTGAAATTTTGAATTTTGAAACATCCGCAGATGTGTTCATACGGCGGTTATCATGGACCATTCAATGTGACACAGAAGTGCCATTCCATGAAAAGCGGCGTATGGTCCCCAATTTAAAAACAATGCGTCTGCCTTAAACGAGAATTCAATGGGCGGAACTAAATAAAATGGAATTTTAAAAGGGAGGTAATGAAGCCTGCATATCACAAACAATACGTCAAAAGATAAATTTAAAAAAGCAGGCAACATATCCTAATGGTGACTAAACAGTATTCAAAACCTTCCAAATTGAAAAAGGCCAAATAGAAGACAAAAAAGTATTACATAAGTAAAAGCTATACAAAACAAAAATGTCGTGCAGAACAATCGTCAAAGATCGAAATTATAACATCATTGATAAAATGTACGGGGAGAGTTTTGACAAATGTATATAACATACTTTGAAAAAAATCAGCATGTTAAAGATTTGCAGTTTGTTTATTACCTTCACGGATCGAATATTTTTAAGGATATTGTTCATTTGTAAAGATTCGCTACACAGACCTACTAGAATATATTCATTATTAACAAAAAACAGCAGCTGCATTTATCATTTGTGCTGACGATAGCAGTTCAGATGCCAGTTAACTATAACATTCCACAGCAATATGGATATAAAGCAGGTGGTTTGATTTCAGGGAGAGTGTTTTACTATGAATCCTTTGTAAACCCACCTGCGCACTGGATCAATTTAGATTTCGTTTGAAAAGGCAACTGATACCTCATTCAGGTGCAACTTACAAGAAAAATTATTATGTCAATTCAGGATTGTCTCATTTGTTAGGTTAACTATAAATTCATTTTTTTTGTTTCATTAGTTTTGCCAGGACCTGATATAAGATACTTAAATTGCATCTTGCAATGCTGGTCAGTCATGTTTTCAGTGTTACTTCTTTTCCGAAACTCATAGCATTTCCATCTACCTACTTAGATTGTGTGATAGACTGTGTGATAGTTTTATTCAGCACCGAATGTATTTCCAAAACACACGGTTGTCTCTCAATATATTTCATAAAATGATCATAAATGGCATTTTTAACGGCATTACATATTAATTAATTAACTTGTACCATTTCTTTTATCACGTGAACAAAAAGAATATATTTCAGGAAATAACCTTTTTCAAATATTTAATCTCATTCTTATTGGTTCATATTTTAGACTTTCTTGTAAAATAGTGTTTTGTGTACTAAAACAAACAATGTTTTTTTTATGTAGATATATTTGCAAGAAGATAATATATCTCTTATGATGCTATAACTAAACAATATACAATGCAGACCTCGTTAAAGATAAAGAAATTGAAATTCAATCTAATTCTTAATTCAATAAAGTTTGTACATATATAGATCGTTATTTGTAAACTGTAATAAGTACATTTATTTCCAAATCTACTTAGGTCTAACATTACAATGATCTCATTAATTTGTGTCATGCTTGCATTCCGATATTTTAGTGGTGTGATTGTCTTGTTTTTAAGTAAATCGGTTAGTGTTTCTCCTTTTTAGTTCTTTACATCTATTTTTGCGTAACATCTTAATGTCTTCATGATTCGATGAGTATATGACATAATTATGCTTCTCATTAATTTAATAAACGGCATATGATCTAGAATTACCAAGAATAAAGAAACAGATCCTATAAAACTGATCAAAAGTTAATTCTACAGATTCTTTAATAGTCCATAACTTAAAATCATTAATTCACGGACTGTCATATTAATGCCCCAATGTTATGACTATCGTTTTTCTTTCTGTGTATAAAAAACAACTAATAGGACAATAATATATTGTCCCAAATGTCATCTGTATATTCAGTAGTATTTTCAATACTCTTTCTCGGCGTTTGAAAACGTTTGCAAAAATGCACATTGAAACATAAAATATCAATACAAATATAAAATGGCTTTGCCTTTTATGCCTGTTTATAAGATTGCATCTTGCAAAAGTATTGATAATTTATAACAATATTTTAGAAATAATTGCGCTATTTTAATATGTTTTGTTGAACCACCTTAATAATGTGTTTTGTGTTTGATCGTATTCTTTCCTATTATAGTATAGTATATTTATTTTTATAATAACATTTTCGTTATCTATCATCATGCCGTTTTATGTCGAATGCATTTGTATTACCGATGTCCACAATAACATGTAAAAAAATCTGGAAACAAAGTGATCCCTCGGAAGCATTAACCTTATGTTAATGCAAGATAAAGCTGCAAATAAAGCTGCAAATCGAAGTTTATATTTTGTAAGGACATACAGTGACCTGTCATGCATGTTTTTCTCAGAATGATGTAAGAACATATTGCTCCTGAAACATAATTTGACCACGATAGAAAAAGCTCCAATGATGACATAACACAAATATATTTTAAAACATTTATTCATTAGATCAGATACAATCATTCGATGATATAGCCTGACATTCTAACTTACATAGAAAATGGTATCACAATTGTTATTATACAAACAATATATACATCAAGACTGCATGTCGAATGCAAATAATTTCAACATATTTTAACACCTAAATACTGTATACAAATAGGTGTTTTAAATGTATATAATTTAACATAAGTGTGCGTATGAAAATAGCCATCTAGATAAGAAAATTAAATATTATTCAGTATTTTTTATTCATTTTGTTTAAGTGCTACAAAAAGAATATTTGAGTTTGCAATTTTTGAATTAGCATAAAATTAAGCATTATTCGAAATATTTAATTACTTTTAATTCATCTATAAATATCGAAATAAATTATGTAAAATATTAACTTAAGTTCGACAAAGAGAATGCTTTTATAAAACAGAATACATATACATATGTTACGCAAACCTATAACAACTAAATATACAAGAGTATGTCTATGGTAAATTCATTCCCTATGAAAAATTGAAATATAAGAAATACCATTAAACAAAAAGACAGATTTCCTGCATACATATGCGTCTAAAACATACGAACACAAAGTCCAAGTTATTCAGTTAGTACATCAAGTGCTAATACGGAAATTACCAAAATTCCTTTAATATTTATTTAGACACAGAATAGTACATCACATAAACAGAAACCGTCAGGGTGAAATGTTCTTTTGAGTATGTATTATACGCAGTTCAACACAGTACAATACAGTGTCTTTGACAAAATATCTATGTACATTCCGTTCAAAGCCTCTAAAAACGTGAAGACATACAGGATTACACACATGCTGAAACCCCACACGCAAATATATTAAACACGGATGAGACAAATTATTGGTCACCCTTTCTTAACAAGACACACGTCTGTCATACGTATAGGTTACACAAAACTAATAAACAAAGTTGATAACTTAATACTTGCCTCTAATAACTTACATATATTATTGTTACCTCGCAGTTTAATTTCATGGTAATGTTAATATTTTAGTTTATGTTTTAGCAACAACCAAAAACGTATAAATCGATCTAAATACATTCAACTAACACGATTTTACAGTGACAAAAGGTGCAGATATGTACATGTAATTGAAATATTTGAATGCATTTAATTTGTTGTCCCTTTAATTAAATATATGATATAGATAATCTTTTTTTTATTAATAATACATACATATTTTAAAATCATTCAAAATATATATAGAAAGAAACAAAACTGATATTGTTGAAAGTTATTGACAATATATATGACTGATATCATAAACATGCATTCACAATGTTTATAATTTCCTTTAAGTCGTCTCAATGAAAGATAATTAAATAAAATCAGTTTAAACTTATTTCAAACAAGATCTATAATATATCAGATATATTATAGTTTTTTGTGAAAAAAAATATGCTTTCATGTGCATATTATAGATGCATAAAATTATCTTAAATCCCCCAAAAACTAAAAACTTTCACCAGGCTTTTTTTTAATTATAGTTTACAATATCCTAAAAGGGAAGGGGAGATAGAACAATTCACTACAATATTCAAGAAAAGTCAAGTTTTCTCTCTTTAAATAATAAAATTCCTTTATTGTGTTTATTTTTTTAATGAAAGCAAAACGCTTAATATTAATTAAATTTAATTATATTACTTTTACAAATAGAATTAGCCATCTTCGGTTAAGAGTAGTCAAAAAACTTCGACTTCAAAAAATGAATCATAAAATGATTTAATGGCAAAATATGAAGCAGAAACATTATGTTGGTAAGTTCATTTTTCTCTTCCTTTTGAAAATATTATCATATTTATTGGTTTCTTTCTGATAACGCAATTTTAAAATTGAATTTAACGATATTCTTTCGATTATGAGGATGGTGCAACTAATTTATCTTTGAAAGTCAACACAAAAATACAATAATACGTTGTAATAAAATTTTCATACAATAAATGATTGAAAGTCATGTCATTAAAACTAATTTATCTTTGAAAGTCAACACAAAAATACAATAATACGTTGTAATAAAATGTTCATACAATAAATGATTGAAAGTCATGTCATTAACATACAATATATTTATATGCATGCATACATTATGTAATACATACATACATACTTGCTAATGACGTCACATCAGGCAACGCTAACTTTATGATATTAAACAATTTTAATCGTTACACCAAAAAACATAGGATCAAAAAAAATACCAATTGTGTTTTATATATAAAACAGCAGTTTTTTTGTTAAATGCACATATAAGCATATCAGAAACATATGACATACACATGTACACATATGCATTCTATTATATTCATGAACGATATTATCCAACAATGGTGCACATGTGATTTTTCTTTCAAAAACCAACATACTATATTTTGCCTTAACAAACTATTTTGCAGAAGAAAAAAAAACATTTCAATATATTCTATACGTCCCCAACATAAAAATAGTGTTTTAACAATGAAACCATTCAGGAACATTCATATGCTTTCTTCCTATTTTGTTCGTCATATGAAAAGTTTTTTTGTCTCTGTACATCACACCAAACATCAACTACTAACACATCAAGTTTCGTCTCATAGCATTCAACACAATGCGAAGCAGTTAAAGTGTAATTTACTTATTTATTTTATTCAAAAGCTTACGGTCTGCTTTTGTTGTATGAAGTTTGCTTTAATACTTCATTTGCGGTGTGCATGTATACATAGTGTGCATAACTAAGATTCTTTCTACACATAAACAAACTTCAGTTGAAACTGTATTACTATTGTATGTTGTTTTATTTTCTATTTCATCTCCTAAAATTTTCCGATTGTTTAGGCTTTTCTGAACAAGAACAGACACCAGAATAAATTTAAAGATCTACATCTTCAATTTTCTGTTTAAACAACTCAATGACGTTGATAGTGTTGTGATGTTAATAAATGTAATAATGTACTGGGATCATTTAATTCTGAAGCAAGTATCAGGCCGTATCTAGTAGATGTATTTTTGCCTTTCTAATACTAATTAAATATCACCAGTATACTATGTAACAAATTGTTACTCACTTCTCTTGTATCAATTATTCTATAATTCTTTTTGCATTTAGTACATATATAATTAACCCTTAAACAGTCTGTACCACATCAATTTCATCATTATTGACCTTTTGTGTGTCTTTTATCTAATTTTCACCAAGTCTAAGTCTCAACTCGTGAGCTATGGTCTGGTTGCGACATTTCTACAGCTATTAAATATTTTGCACATATTGTCACGGAACATTTGGTTCATAAAGGCGTAAATGACTGGATTTGCCACATTATACACAAAGTACATGTAAAATATTACATTGTAAAATGTTATCCATCGATGAGCCATTAGCCATGCAGGCAAGAAGGCTACAATAAAAACGATTGTCACAATGAAAAGCATAACAGCTGTCTTTATATTTGCTAATCTGTCATGGTCCTTTCTATCTTTGGTATGGTCTTGTGCACCAGGTTTCCTTATTGACGAGTTCTTGACAATTTTATTCTCTGCGTCTTTTACACCATTGGTTTGTTCGTCAGGCATTAGTCTTGTTGTTGTCGTTTCACCATCCATCTCAACTTTTAGACTTATATTATTGTGGTTTGAATTTACTTTACTTTTCGATTTCACATTTGTTAAGGGAATGGTACACTCGTCTGTCTGACAGTGCGTGTTCACCTGTTTTACGCGGCCGCCCATTTTCTGCGCCCTGCGTTTTGCTCTCTGTTTCGTAACAGAACTGTAGATAAGGCCATATAGTATCAAGACAATCATTAGCGAGCATAAATAGAATGCTGAATAGATCTTTTGATATACACTTATAAAGTTAGCAGAGTACAACACTTTTGACTGGTCACAGAGACCAATATAAACTTTATGCATCCTTATGGGTTTGTCAGCTTCGTCATCATCACGGATGTGGTATTTATGGTCTTGTTGAAAATTGAATGTTTCAGTTATTGATTCGTTTGATGTTCCATTGATAATTTCATATTGGGGTGGAATCGTTGATGTACTGTTCAGTCTTTCCATTTGATAGACACTATACCCAAGGGCAGTAATCAGACCTAAAACTGTGGCAAACAGTGTCAGTATTCCGACAATGATTTTAGCTCTTCTGACGGTCATAACATGTGCAAATGGATGACAAATACATATATAGCGATCCACTGCTATGGCAACCATAATAAAAGCAGACAACGGCACGGTACATGTTATAAGAAATTGGTATGTTTTACAAAGGATGTCAAACTGCAAGTTATACTCTAACCGGATTGCAGTGACAGTATACGGTATGATCACAAGGCATGTCACAAAATCAGTACCGGCAAGTGCAAGAATGAAAATAGTGGATGCCATCTTGGCTGGGGTACGTGTAAAAACGTAAAGAACCAAGCCATTTCCAAGGGTGCCAACAACGCTAAAAATGCACAAAATAACTATCACAATAAGAATTTCTGTTTCACTAGCGTTCCCAGCTTGCTCGGGTTCTTTAGGCAATGTTGGGTCCTGATTGGTAGTTGGTGCATTGGTTTCTGCTTCTTCGAGTAACTTTCTAAATACTTGTTTCCAATGGTCTGTTATGTATTCCGCCATTTCTTTGAATGCTCACCTGGAAAGTAAAAATATAAAGATATAAATATTTGAACATTTCATGAAAGTATATTACGACATTTGCTTATTTACTACTTTCTAAAAATGTTTAACTTGCTTCAATAGCTAATTAAATCCTAAAGAAAAATGGCAAAATTTGAAACATAACAGAAAAAAATCAACTTAAGTACGTTACAAACGATCTTAATACAAAGTTGTTTTTAAAGGATATCAAAGGACTATACATTATTGATTTCGTTGTTTCTTTATATAATATAAGTGAATGTTCCATTGATGTTGTTTATTGCATTTACCAAATTACCAGTTAAAGATCAAAGACTTAATTTACCTTTAAACATGTAATGCTTCAAAATGCATTTATATTGATAACATTAATAATTCAACCGTTGGGTTATTAAAGAAGCTCACTATAAGCATTTAAAAGTATGAATAATCACTCCATTTAATCAGTTTCTTTTTCTGTTTTTGTTCCTGTTGTTACAGTTGTAATGTTTTGTATTTTTGGGAAATCAAGTATACATGTTTGATGATAAGTGAAAATGTATTTTTTTAAACTTAACTAAACCATCATTTATTTCCACATATCAAATGCTAATGGTATAATAATTATATTGTTGTGTTTCTTTTTTAAGTTAAGCACACCTTTCTTATATTGAAATCGTACTTTAAAGTCTGATTTTATAGCAAAATAAAACCTCCATATCGGGGAAAAGAGATAATGGGATCATCATAAAATTGTCATAATTAAAGGAAATTTGTTATTGTTTATGGATAGAGATTCTCAACATGATTTCATCGCTGTCAATTAAATCGATCTGAACAAGAAAATAACATTTGTTTTTTTTTTATCATGTCCTTGAAAATTCCAAATATTTAAAACAGCACGCCTCCAGAATTCATGCCAATTTTCTTGAAAATTTTAATAATGTATTTGAATGTGTAATATTGTGAAGTAACCAAAAGGAAGGAATTTACATATTATCAAGTGGCACTTACAAACCACATTAATTACCAAAAAGTGGTCAAACATTGCATAAATAGCCTCTACTGCGTTAGTAATGCAGAAAAAATATAATTGTAAATTCTGAAAAATCAGTCATTAATCGCAAATAATATGTAAAATATCACTTGAATTTTGAAACTTTCTACGTTTCCTTACATCTTAGCACGTTTTTCTCAAGTTGTATTTTATTGAAATATTTTAACTCATCTGCAGGCACGTAGCTTAAGCTAAAAATTGAATTTTTGAATTTGATGGATGAGAAAGTTAAGTGTATGTTCATTGACTACATTAAGATATATTTAATTAATAAAACATCAATAATAACGATAATTTTTTGTTTGTTTGTTTCATTTCACGCCTTTTCCCAACGGTGTTACAGTCATATAGGCGGGTAATTTCCTAACCATCGTTCCTGGAGAGTTACACCAGTACTAGACTACCTTCCTTTGCGCTAAACTACCAAAGCATCTCTCATGGATCGAACTCACGCGAGAGAGGTAAATGGATTAGAAGTCATCGACTCTAACCCCTCGACCACGATTAAGTGATTGCGTTAATAATAATGAAGTTTACGTACTAAGAAGAAATTCAATTGTGTTAGAAATATTCCAATTATAATACAACAACATAAGCTATCACACAGGGTCATGCCCTTGACTATCCGCATTGTACTATATCAAAACTTTGATTGAAACATTTGAAGCTGAAAGAAAAATCCATTTTAATGTAAAGCATTTATTGGGATGCTTAATACTCGTTATATTTATTAAGGAAATTAAATTCAGATGAAAGCTTTATGTTAATTGATGATCTCTTTGGTACTCTGATTCTCTAAAGAAAATTGCATGTTTGAAACTCATATAATATTGAAGTTCCCTATCTCTTCATCAATTTATGCTTTCGTTGGTTACTTCCTTTTTATGTATTTATAGCTGATTTTATATAGTAGACTTTAGCGTATTGTCTACTTTAGTTTCAAAAATTGCTATATCTACAACACTAATGGATATTTTATCGCCGTACCATCTATTCAGCTTTCAGAATTCTCCATAATCATTACTTTAATACTTCATGTAATGTTAGTCGCACCAATGTCAATATGTGTATTTTTCCCTGGCTGAAGCTCTTCGTATTACCCCTATTGCGCTAAATGGCACCATTTATTTCAACGATCACGCATTATTTTTATAAAAAAGACGAAAAAACAAGGTTAGTAATGGAACACATTTTAGCTGAGATTCGTGATAATTGCAATGTTATAGAAGAGAACGATCCTAAATGTTCACAAAAGAGCTAGTCGGAAATTGCCGGTTATGTCGATTTGCCCATTTGAAGTTGTTAAATACAGTGATAAGAGATAGCAAGAGAAAAATAAACCTTTTTAGAAATTAAAGTCTTCTCAGAAAAAATTAGGATCAGTTAGTTAAGATTCTTCCTCTAATTTTGACCATCATTAGCGCGTCATTTAAAACGTCGGGTTCATTAAACGTCATTTGAGTGCGTTTTAATCAACTTTAAAATAATCAAGAGTACTTTTTTGTCAAGACTTTTAAAAGTGATTTAAGTCATTGATGTATGGATTATATGTTTTTCTTGCAAATATATGAATAGACTATGTAATGTTTGGTTAACATTAAACTGATGGTAAAATTTTAAAACAGCGTGTTTTGACTATTTGTTTTTTTCTTCAAATGGTTAAAGGTTTGTTTACAAGTTCTTGAAAACTGTATTTAAATGACTGTCGCGTCTTTTTGGCCATTTTCCTCAAACTTCGGATTAGAACCTCGAACACAATAGTACGAAAACGGATACAAGTTTCGGTCTAACCAACGATAAGAAAATCTAGGAGAAAGCAAACAAATGGTAATTCAATACTAGGAGTTGATTTCTAATTTTTTATCAATATATTTATACAATTATTTAAAAGTAGACAACCCATTATTTATATACCTATGATTATGGTTGTAGAAACCGAAAGTACAAAATATCTACTAATTGACATTTTTTTTTAAATTTGTTATGATTGTCAGACATATTTTTAATCACAGTTTTGCCAAAATATACTTAATGTTCCTTTGAATGTCAAATAAATGAATTCGCTATACATTATCAATGATTACACCGTCTGATTGTGGTAACATCTTGACTGTATTTTACCTTTTAATTATGTCAAACGTTCAATTATAATGCTGTTGTTTGTTTGTTTGTGTTCTTTAATTCCAAAAATAAAATACATTTTCTGATACATTTTTCAATATTTCATCTATTTCTCTATAAAACTAACATCGGCGCCATTATTCCTAATTCCAAATGCTTTGCTAATTAGTAACTTGACCTCGGTTTCAATTTACAAAACAATTACGAATAGTTTTAAAGCCATATTTATTTGGAATGGTATAAACAACTCGTTCTTTAAATCTACTAATGAACGTAAAGTGGTATTAGAACAGACAGTGCAGCTTAACTTAAGCCATGGCTAGTAATTACTAAGTAATGTGAATGCTAAATCGATAGCCATCATTTCTCTCTGTTTGATCTATATATTTTAGATTGCTCTATCGTCTTTTGTTCTTTATTGTACACTTTTTTATATTTCAGTCCTTTTTATTGTATACTGTTTTAACCACTTTCTAGAATATTTCTGCTTTAAATTAAGCTTTACACCAACGTACGTTTAAAGCACTATCAGAAGCTATATCGATTTATTATAAATTAATTTACAGAGCGAATTTAAAAAAAGTAATTATTTTACATAATTATTGCTTATTGTTGTTTATGGAGTAAAAAGCTAACATATATGTCTGCTGCTCAAAGTTTAGCAAGCAAATGTTAATTTATATTTTGAAAAGAATACACCATAAATTACCTGCAAATCGGATACCCTGTTTGATTGAGTATGTACACCAACCTTGAAATACCTTGTGAAATATGTAGCAAAATATAAACATAATGTAATTGTGACGAGATAACAAATTACACCAACTTCTTGTCAAAGAGATAAAGACAGGGTTGCTGATGAAGAACAATTTGTGAAAGCATGAACACCAACGTTCCGTAAGCTAGCTGGTAAACTGCATACACTGCAAGAATATTTAATCACAACAACAAGAGTATGAAGCAAGTTGTTTAATATGGCCTTCACCACACCTTAGCACATCCAAGCAATTTTTAAATATTCAATAAAGAAAAAGAACACAATTGCATCTAACGCTGCTGGAAATGAACAAAACTTGCATTATAGGTGAAATTATTTGAACAATACTATAACCTGTAACCCTATGCATATTTTATACAAAAACTATTAGATCTGTCGTCTACTATATACGTTCCCAGACAAAATTATGCGTGGCAGTTGTTCCGGTTATTGAAACTAGTGAACTCAATATCATTTTTCAGAATTGACTCGGACAAAAAAAAATGAATGAAAAAAACATAATCATTTTCCCTATAGAAGATTGATTATTTGCATAAATCATTTGACAAGAGCAATTCAGATAAGAAACGTTGTTTATTGATATTATTCTATTAACAATGATAAAAAATTGTCATGGAACGACGCCAATACAATGGAATACTGAATAATGTAACATCTAATTTATATTTATTAGACATTGTGTGAATGGTTCGGTGACTTGTGACAATAAAGCTTGAATTACGTGAAAGGTGGTACACTTTCACGCCGTCAGTTTCCTTATTATACTTTAATTACATTATTGCAGATGTTTTATCAGTATTTGTTATATTGAAGTGGATGCTGATATAGCGCAGAATCATGGCAAAATATGTTTTAGGAGTGTAACGCCTTGAATAAATAACCAGAATCATCTTATAGGCAATTCAATCACGTACGGGGATAATTAATAAAATTGTTCACCATACTGGCTTATTAACTTGAACACCAAAAGCTAAAAAAACACACAAACAAACACACATTTATTTTCAACTCAATTCGGAGTTTATTCTTAATAACATTTTATAAATGTTCCTTTAGTGCT